TCATGTTGAACAGAAGTCAACACTAGATAAAAAGGTATTCTCTATTCTATATTACTTCTACTTTATCCCCCTTACTCCAAACTCCTTGGAGGCAACTAACTTTATTTTTTCACCTCTCCAAGTTTCGTTTTGGATAGGCTGGCAGATATATGTATGTTTTCTTATTTTTTCCTTTGACACAATAGGTAGGCTCTACATAGCCTCTTTTGCAGTTTGGCTTTTTCTCTTAAGAATGTCTCTTGGAAATCACTCTGTATCAGTCCATAGATAGCTCCTGTTCCTTCTTTACAGTTAAGAAGTGCTCATCATGAAGAATTATCATAGCTTATTTAACCAATCATCTATGCTCAGATATTTAGCTTCCAGTATTTTGCAACTGCAAATAACACTACAGTGAATAACCTTGTGCACAAAAATTTTTTTGGATTATTGGAGTTGTTATCTTCAGGGTTAACGCCCAGAAGTGAGATTGGCATGTCGAAGTGTAAATGCAAATGAAATTTGTTGGGTATTGCCAAGTTCCTCTCCATAGGGGTTATACCATTTTGCATTCCCAGTGAGGATGCAATGTAGGAGAGTGCCTGAGTTCCCCCACATCCTTGCCAACAGAGTGTAATCGTCAGCTTTTGATTTTTTGCCAACCTGACGAGTGAGAAATGGTGTCTCAGTGTTGTTTTAATTTGCATTTCTCTTATTATGAGTAAAGTTGAACATTTTTTCATATGTTTAAGGTCCATAATTGGATCATTCTTTTTGGTGAATTGTCTGTGGATGTTTTTGCCCATTTAGTAACAGGATTTTAAACATTTAAAAGTTGTTTATTTGGCAGAAATAGCTTTTAAAATAATTTATGCTAACTGAGAGAAGAATCCCAAAGTACCTGGCTACGGATAAACTATGGATTCTGCCCTCCAGGAAATTACAGTCCGTAAGCTGAACACCATTACAGTGGATATGAGCATAAACTGTGGACCCAGACTGCCTGCCTTCAAATGCCAGTCCTGCCACTTAGGCAAGTTTTTAATCTCTTAGTGCCTCAGTTTCTCCATTTGTAAGATGAAAGTAACATTAGTATTTACCTCTTAAGATTATTGTTAGGATTAAATGACTTAACACATGTAAAGTACTTTGAGCAGGAAACATTCCATAAATGTTGGCTATCTTAAGAGTCAAGAAAATCCTCTCAGTACGTTGATTTGATCCCATAAGAATCCTGTTATGTAGTTAGTTATAAAAAAAGACCTGGAAGTATAGAAACATTAGGCGAATCAGTGATAGAATCAGAATTGTAACCCATTCATTAATTTATCAGAGATGGCAATGCAACCTACTCCAGTACTCTTGCCTGGAAAATCCCATGGACGGAGGAGCCTGGTAGGCTGCAGTCCATGGGGTCGCGAAGAGTCAGACAGGACTGAGCGACTTCACTTTCACTTCTCACTTTCATGCATTGGAGAAGGAAATGGCAACCGACTCCAGTGTTCTTGCCTGGACAATCCCAGGGATGGGGGAGCCTGGTGGGCTGCTGTCTATGGGGTCGCACAGTCGGACACGATTGAAGCGACCTAGCAGCAGCAGCATTAATTTATTCATTCATTTATTTTCAGCTATTTTTTGAGGCCCTACTAGGCACTGGCTTAGGTATTAGAGATATAGCCTGAACAAGACAGATCTTTGGGCTCCTGGATGCTCACCTTTTTTTTGTGTGTGTGGCGGAAGAGGCCTGTGCAGGGTGTGGAAAGTAACGAAACCCAAGGAAATCAATTTTGTTTTTTTGGCCATACCATGTGGCATGTGGAATCTTAGTTCCCTGACCAGGGATCAAACCCAAAGCCCCTTTATTGGAAACATGGAGTCTTAACCACGGGACTTCTAGGGAAGTCCCCAGGGAAACCAATTTTGTCTGTCTTGTTCGTCAGTAGTCTGTTCAGCACACACAACAGTGTCAAAATTCTTTTGTTTAAATGAAAGAATGAAGGAACAAATGACAGAGTAGTGAAAAATGAGGCTTGATGCATAGGTCGGGCTCAGATCATGAAAAGCCTTGTCAACTCTTTTGAAGAGTTTGAACTTCATCCTGAGCAGAGAAATCACATGAAATAGATTTGCATCTAAGAAAACTCAAGTCAGTCTGTGTGGAGGATCTACACAGGGGGAGAACCACAGGGAGGTTGTTATAAGTTCAGCGCAAGATGATGAGGTCCAAATCAAGAGGGAGGCTGAGGGGATGGAGAGGAGGTGAGCTGGAGGGAGGTTTAGAAGTCAGAGTTGACATCATCCGGACTTGCTGGGTGTAGAGGGAAGAAGAAGACTGCAGCATCACTGAAATTTCACTGTGATGAGAAACTGAAGACAGGAACTTCCCTGGCAGTTCAGGGGTTAACACTTGTGTTCCCAGGGCATAGAGCATACCTTTGATCCCAGGTCGGGAAATTAAGATCTTTCATGCTTTTTGGCACAGCCAAAAAAAGAGAAAGAAATTGAAAAGGGATGACTGATGGGGAAAATGGAGAAAGGCTTTTTTAAAAAAAAAATTATTTATTTTTTAGCTGCACTGGGTCTTCACTGTTGCCCTCAGGCTGTTCTTAGTTGTGGCGAGCAGGGGTGACTGTGTGGTTGTGGTGCAATGGGCTTCTCACCGTGGCAGCTTTTCTTTCCGTGGAGCATGCGCTCTTGGTGCAGGGGCTTCAGTGGCTTAGTTGCCCCACTGCATGTGGGATCTTCCCAGACCAGGGATTGAACCAGTGTCCTCTGCATTGCAAGGCAAATTCCCAACCATTGGACCGGCGGGGAAGCCCAAGGGAGGCCTTTTAAACTTATGGATTTGAGGTGACCGTGGGACAGGGCTCAGTTTCTTGACTGTACTTGCTTTTGGCTTCTTTACACTTCTTGGAGTCAGGAGACTGGGACCTGTCCAGCACACTGTAGTGGCCCATGAGATAAACTGTCTAATATTGGAAAGTACACTGGTTAGGGGCATTACTTTGCCAACAAGGGTACGTATAGTTAAAGCTATGGTTTTTCCAGTAGTCATGTATGGATGTGAGAGCTGGACCATAAAGAAGGCTGAGCACTGAAGAATTGATGCTTTTGAAATGTGGTGTTGGAGAGTCCCTTGGTGGAGAAGGAAATGGCAGTCCACTACAGTATTCTTGCCTAGAGAATCCCGTGGACAGAGGAGCCTGGTGGGCTGCTGTCCATGGGGTCGCACAGAGTCCGACATGACTGAAGTGACTTAGCAGCAGCAGCAGCAGAGTCCCTCAGACTGCAAGGAGATCAAACCAGGCAATCTTAAAGGAAATCAATCCTGAATATTCATTGGAAGGACTGATGATGAAGCTGAAGCTCCAATACTTTGGCCACCTGATGCAAAGAGTGGATTCATTAGAAAAGACCCTGATGCTGGGAAAGACTGAAGGCAGGAGGAGAAGGGGACGACAGAGGAGGAGATGGTTGGATGGCATCACCAACTCGATGCACGTAAGTTTGAGCAAGCTCTGAGAGATAGTGATGGACAGGGAAGGTTGGCATGCTGCAATCTATGGGGTCCCAACGAATTAGACACGACTGAGCAACTGAACAAGACTGGTTGGGAGGTCTCTTGACTAGTTGTGCAACCTTAACCCTCCAGGGGTCCCTGATGGGGCATGCTGGTGCTAAGTTTACTGCTAATTGTAACTGGAAGTTAATTCTTTGATGACAAAAATAACTCATCTTTGCATCTTCACTTACACCTGAGAGGATACATAATGCAGACTGTGGGCAATATTAAATAGATGTCTCATAGGAGATTAGGAAATGTAGGAAATCCATCATAGGAAATTAGGAAATCCATCATCAAGCAGGGCTCATGGCTTGGGGGGTTGCCCGAGGGTCACTGAGCCAAGATGCAGAGTTACCACGTCCAGGAGGAACTCCAAATCCCTTTCCATTGACACAGAAAACAGATGAATAAAGAGTCCAACAAAATCCCCTCTAGAATGGCACTCTGTAAGCTTTGATGACACCAGTGCTTTTTTAGAGGTCATGCTAGATGAAAGGCTGTGAAAAGACCTGGACAAGACAGCAATTTGGACACCTGGACACATGCCTTTACCAGAGAGAAGGAATTTCTAATGAAGCTGGTGATAAGGGCAAAGATCCAAAAGAATAGAAACCATGTTTCACAGAAGCCTCCACAGGCAGATATTTATTTTTAAAAGTGACCCGAACTGTCTCTAGGATGTCACTGGATCCCCACAAGACGGTGCATCAGTTAGGAAAGGACCTGCTACAATTCATTTTCTGATTAGAGCGCTTTCTGGTTTGACCCTGTAAGGGGCTAGGAGCAGGAGGGCAAGGGTATGCACAGTTAAGAAGATAGGAGGAGGGTCTCAAGTAGAAGGAAGCTATGACAAAGCAGAGGATGGTCTCTAGGTGGGAAACGGTATGAGAGACTTGTGCGAAGAAAGATCGAAAGGAAAAGCAGGCCACTAGCAATAGCTCGGGAATGGAGGGAAAGCGAGAGAAGGAGGGGGAGACGAGCACCGGGGAAGGAGGTGGGGGATAAAAAAGGAGAGAAGAAAAGGAGTAGAAAACATTTGCGGTGCACGAGTTAACGAATTATGGAGAAGAAACGTAAATAGAATTGGGTTACTGAATTGGGAAGGAAGGACTTGGTTCTCTGGAGAGTCCTGCGATTACATAGCGCTCAGGGGGTGTGGTCCTGACTTTAGGGCGGTGGGAGTGCGAGAAGGTTGCGGTGGGGGTCGCCGACCAATTTCTCCCCAAAGTGGAAGCCTGGGAAAACCGAGGGGCAGGCAGGCAGGCTAGCAGGGAGGAGGCGGAGCGACGGCGCCGAGGGGCGGGACGAGGGAGGGCGTGGGGTGGAGGAGGAGGAGGAGGAGGCGCAGACTGAGGGCGGCGCTAGGACCTGCCGGTGCCCCGCCGGCTCCCGGGAGGTTGATAAAGCGGCGGCGGCGTTTGACGTCAGTGGGGAGTTAATTTTAAATCGGTACAAGATGGCGGAGGGGGACGAGGTAACGCGAAGCCAAGAACCGCACCAAGGGCTGCGGCGCCGGCGGCGGACCAGCGACTCAAACACCGGGGTTAACCACGTCTCGTCCACGACCCTCCTAGGTACGGGCCGGCAGGGTGGAGGCCGCAAGGCCCGCGCAGGGAGAGGGCGCGGGCCGCTCGGGCTCGCGGGCACCGGCCGCAGGCGGCGGGGTCGTCGTCCGCGGCTGGCTCCGCTCTTCTCCCGCCGCCGCGTCTGGCCGCCAGGCCTAGCCCCCGCCGCGCCCCGAGCTCCCGCGGCGCGCGGCCTGAAAAGGGCGGCCCTGGGACCGCGGCTCCCGCAGCTGTCGGGTGAACGGGCGGCGCGCGCGTCTGCGTCCGACCCGGCCCCCCTGCCCGCCCGCCGCCGCGTGTCTGTCGCGGTGTCGGCCCCGACCTGAGAGGGCGGCCTTGAGCAGGGGCTGCAGACCCAGGGCGAGGGGAGGTCGGCGGCGGCGCGGCTGTGTCCTCGGGAGCTCCGGACGCGCCCGGGCGACCTGTCACCCGGCCGGCACTCGCTGCCCTGTGTCTCGCGCGCGGAGAGGGAGGAAGGGTTAACCAGGTCGTGATGGGCCCGGCGGTGGAGGAGGACGCGCAGCGCGCGGGAGGAGTAGACACCTCGCTGCCAGGTCGGGAGGCTCTCCAGACACCCTTCCAGGAGGGAACCGCAGTCCGCAGGCCAGGGCTGTGTCCCGGGGCTTGGGTTCCGGGGCCCCGCAGTTCCCGAACCCGGTCTTGCGGGTAGTGCGTGGCTAGGATGCAAGTTCCGATTTAATTGTCAAAACTGGGCGTTTGAGCTGTTTACTAGAACTGAGACCATAGTGAGGCCCAATCGGGCTGAAAGTGTCGGTGGTGTGAAGTCACCTGATCCTTCGCTCCCCGGTGTTGCTGAATGTGAGCTCCTACTGTAAAGGAGCGCCCCTGCCCCTTGGAAGACGCACTTGCTTTGGCGGCAGTGTTGTGTATCTCTCTTACTCATAACACCCTATTTTTAGGAGTTTAGCATTTGATCTTTCACTGTGGTGTGAATTGAACGCCTGAAATCTTGATTGAGGATTTTGATGGTACTTAAAGGCATAAAGTTTTTCCAAGGCTTATAATTAGTGAAAGCGTGAGCTTAGGTAAGTATGGCCATGACATAGATAAGCGTTTATGGTTTATTGAGTGTGAACTGTGTTCTTCAAATTTCTCTCCACAGTCTGATAAAGGTTCTGTGAGGTAAAATGTAAAACGTTTTGATGAGAAACTCCCTTTAAAGAAACGTTTATGTGAAATATATTTGATCATTCACGTTAGCCCTTGGACGTGTTGAACGTATGTCAGAGGTGAGGACAAACTGGAAGTTTTGTTAAGGGACAGGGAACAGGAAATAAAGTTGATTGTATTATTGCTTGCCAACCAAAGCACTTGACAGAGCTGTTTACACAGAAAAAATGCCCCCAGAGGAGAGAGGCATGCCTTAAGTCTATTCTGGTTGGAATTCTCGAGTCATTAGTTGTTCTGGAATGCCGATGGATTGGTTAATTTAGCTCTTTTGGACCTGGGTATATGTGTGCACGTGTTTGTTTACTTATACCGTTTTAGATGTAGTTTCAAAGCGTTTTATGTGCTTGCCTTATTAGGAGAAACATTGCTTTATGACTCACAGTTACGAACATCGTTTTTAGGCTATGGCACATTGAGAAGAGATCCTATTCTTAAGACTTGATATATCAGGGTCATCATTTATTAAATGCTGTGTCTGCTGCTCACAGGTTTTTGTCTTTTGTGTGTGTGTGTGAAGTTAGTCCTTCACTTGAAAGCCGTTTCTATCAAATGACTGCCCAAAATATTCCCTCTCCCTGCTAATTTTCTCTGAGTCACCCATTACTACATTAAAAACTAAGTAAATTGGCTGAGATTTGTGTTTAAAGTTAAGAGCAAACAGGCTGTGAATGAGTAGGTACTCATCTGGTGATTTCGGCTGTAGAAACTCTGTCTCCCTCTGCTTTTTGGATAAAGTTGAAGAGTTGGGGTGAGTCAGGTGCTGCTCTTGTAGTTTAGTCTTAGGAAGATGCTTGTGTCTCTTAGTTTTTTTATTCTTTTTAGGATTGTAAGACCTTATAAAAGACCTAGGAACTCTTCTTTTGACTTTGTAGGATGATAAGGATCTGTGGATGTGATTAAATCTATGTAGTAAAGTGTTTTGAAATTCTTCACATTTTTAATTTGGGGAAGAAGGAGCTCCCTTATAGTAAAGAGGCACTTATTATAGGGCAAATAAACCAGGAGTTAAAATAAGATTCAGGCCTTAAGTGGAATGCACCTGTTTTAAAACTCATTTTTAGTTTGCCTCTCTGTTTTAACTTTAGGATAGGGTTTTGGAATACTCACAAGTGAAAGTAAGTTTCTTGACATTTTTAGACTGTTGCCAAAATTGTGCCTTTTCCATTTATCTGCTGTTAAGCAGCTACTAAGAGTATGCCTGGAGGACTGTCACCTAGTTTGATGCTGGAGTTCAAGACATAGTTAAAATTGTGAGACCTAGTAGTAAGATGCATTTTAAAAATGCATCTTATGCATTGTGTATGTTGTTTATGCTTAATTGGAAGACCTTTTTGACACACAATTGCAAGTAAAGCTGTTTGGCAGTCTGTCAAAGGGCCAGAAATGTACAGGGTGGGAATAGAAGTTACTTTTTATAATAGTGACTTACAGCTTTACAGAAGGAGTTTTTCTCTAGAGTGGGTGCAGGGAAATAGCTTAAAATTTTTTTTTTTTTAAAGTGTGATGGTACTCTGATTGTCTAGCCATCTTGGGGTTGTATTGTTTACTCTTTGGGGCATTATTTAACTTTAGGAAGATAGATGTGAATATAGAATAACCAAACTTGATCCTCCAATTCATTACTCATGTAAGTTTCTTGCTATCCTTTACTCTTCTTTATCACCCATGATACAGAAGACCTATTGAGGGCTTTCTCCATAGCTTTAAAAGTGGATATCTAGAAAAAAAGGCCAACCTGAGGATATAGTGTCAGTAGGATAATACTTGATACATAAAGCACTTCAAACATCATGCTTTGATTTTATTCTTAAAACCTTCCCCTGGAGGAATTAAGTTATTGCCACTGAAGGGAGTGATTGAGACTGTTCTACAGTCACAGAAATGACTCAGAGGTACTCTTACTGCTCCTCACCAGACTTGGAGGACAGTAGGGGCCTCTTTTCATTCAGATTGTCACATATCATAGTCATGACTGGGTAAAATTTTGTTGAATGAAGCCTGAAATCATACTAATGAGAAGATGGGGCAGTTAAAAAGTAAAGGTAGGGCAAATCACTTAAGTGGAGTGGGAAATTTTTTTTTGGGGGGGAAATTTTAAAGTAGAAAGGGAAAAGGTGGATATTGTAGAAAGAAGAATTAAGAATTAATAAAGTAGACATTGGGGTTAGTCTTCTGGCCAGTACAGTAGAATCTAGGGGATTCCCTTGCTAAAGTACCAGTTTAGTAAAGTTATTTGTACAACTTGTATTTCTATGATTGGCATCAGAATAAATAATAACTAATAACTTGGCGAAATGTGTAACTGATGAAAGATACTAATCTAGGCTCTCGAGCAGGTGTTACCTTTTTATTGTATAACACTGATTGTGGGGGCAGTATTTCTTTAACCATAGAGAAGCAAGATAGGGTATGTAGTGGAAAAAGAACCAGGAGTCAAGCTGAGTGACCTCCTTTAAACTCTGAGCTTGAAACCCCTCACGTGCATTAGTGGTGATCATCCCATAAGGACTGTTGTGGTAAACAGATGAGGTGAGGGCACAAGTGTTTCATAAATTATAAAGCTGTGTGTGAGATACAGTAATGTATAGGTAAGAATATGCCAGGTGGACTACTTGTTCTGCTATATTAATATATGTGTATATTTGCAGTCAGAAAGTTTCTTTTAATTTTTTCCCCCTGTAATGTGGACAGTTTAGTGTGGTCAGGAGTGGTGGGTCAATTTTTAACTTTATCTATAAAATGCTGATAATGTGTTCATGATTATGGTTATTAAATGTGATTAAAGTGCTTAACTCAGTATCAAACATTGTGTTTGGTGGTACTTACTACTATAATGTGTGGTTAAGTCTTTGTTCAGGTTTTATCAGATAAAAATAAACATTCATATTTCTCAGCTACCTTTATTTTAATAAACTTGCATTTTAGAGAATCATTTAATCATGTGACAAATAATTTTCTGAAGTTGTTTATTTCAGTTTTAGGATTCAGTATGAATCATGGCAGTTTTCAAGTAGAAAACATTGGCTTTTCAAACAGTAAAGGTGGAAAATGTAATTTATGTCTGTATGCACAAGAATGCCTGAAACAGTGATTGACTTGAAACCACACTAATCATGAGTCCCATAAAAAGCTTTTCCCTCCGTTTCTGTAGTCTTCATAGAAGAGTCTTGGGTAGTGATAAGAGCATATTTATTTTAATGTTGAATATTGTAAACTTCCATGGTCTTCAGAATGGAATAACATTTTTTCCTTCCTGAAGGAAATATCTACCCTAGCAAGCTGGTAGAGCTTTTTTTTTTTGGATTACTAAGTAGATAATCTGTGGAGGCACTTTAGAAACTTTAAAGCTTCCTATATGAAACTCTGTAAAGGGGTGAAATTGGCACCCCTTGAGCTGCTCTTTTCCTCTTTGAATGACTGGGTTTATGAGCTGGAGTAAAAGCTGGATTAAATTCACTTTTATCAGAATGGTGGGAGGGGGTTTGAAGTTTGAATGATAAGGTGGAGAGAAATTTTGATGAAATTTGAATGAAATTCACCATTGTTCTTAGTTTTTTCGATGTCAATGGATGATGCCATCCAACCATCTCATCCTCTGTCACCCCCTTCTCCTGCCCTCAGTCTTTCCCAGCATGAGTCTTTTTCAGTGAGTTAGCTCTTCCTGTCAGGTGGCCAAAGGATTGGAGTTTCAGCTTCAGCATCAGTCCTTGCAATGAATGTTCAGGACTGATTTCCTTTAGGATGGACTGATCTGATCTCCTTGTAGTCCAAGGGAGTCTCTCACGAGTGTTCTCCAGCAGCACAGTTTGAAAGCATCA